GTACACAGAGATTCAAGTCGTTGCATCACAGACCATCTGTTCTGCGAGCACACGTGTTTATTAACAGGAATTACCTCAGATGTGATTGGGAAACAGGGGATGATGTCAGTATAACAAGCCGTGTTGGTTCATATGTGATTCTTCCCAGCTTGTTAATATTTTGCAGCAGTCAAAGGTAAGCACTCTCACGAGGAAAGAGAAAGACTCAACAACGTATGAAGACCTTAGAACAAAGCTAGAAATGTGCTCCACTGCCCTCCTTTAACGTGAGTAGTGGCTGAATCAGTGGCTTCAAGAATCACTATGTTCTCCACTATGTTAACCTGCATGAAGAAACCACAAGAACAAGTGAAGACCCTGTGAAAACATTTCTCCCTACACGGATGAATGAAGGAGCTACACCCTGCACCAGATTGCATTTGGATGAAAAGAGTCTCTATCAGAAGTGAATGCCCAGTGTGATCTACAGAGAGAAGGAAGCACATGCTCGATTTGAAGACTGCAAAGGAAGACGTGCTAAGGGCAGACACCAGCCAGTGGAGACTCAACTGAGCTGTATTTTCAGATTTGCCTTTGGTTTTGTTATGTTCTAGTTACAAAGTTCCATAGCTTTTCAGCGGTCTTTCTCAATCTTGTCCTTCCCATAACTCTGTTATTTTTAGTGCATGATTTTGCAGAATGCAAGGTGCATATAGAGTCTGCCTTCCGTACCTGTGGGTTCTGCATCTGTGCATTCAACCAACCATGGATCAAAAATATTCAGGGAAAAAATGGAGAGTTTCATCCATATTGAACATGCACAGACTCTTTTTGCCATTCCCTAAACAATACAGTATAACAACTATTTACACCGTAGTAGGCATTATAAATAGTCTAGAGAAGATTTAAAGTACACAAGAGGATGTGTGTAGGAAGACTTGGGCAGGGACAACTGTAGAGTGCAGTAGTGGAGATGCCTGTATTCATCACTGCAGAAGAGTCCATTTTTAAGTAAATGTCTTCAAACAAAACTAAAACTATTCTATTATTATTTATTTGATTTCATTTGAAATGAAATGAAAGAAGTATTTTCTTATGCATGTTATGCAGACATACACATAATCACATGTATGTATATACAGATACGTATGTATGAAGGGATGAATGCAAAAGTATGTCGTCCTTTGGGAAGCACAAATAAACTGAATGTTGACACAGAAGGAACTGTCAAGTCCATCTCAGTAAGTTTCAACTTGGCCACTCCCGACTTTCTGTGTAGACATACAGCATTCTCTTTGCACGTATCTGCCAAGTAAGTAGAGCCCTCCTCCACAACGTCAACTAATCACAGGGGATGGGTGTCAAGCCACTCAATAGTAAGAAAGCCACACAACTGAAGCTTAAATGCATTCAGTCCCTCTAACGAAGAACAGTCTGGTTCTCTGGTAAGGGATTCAGCCACACCTTCTTCCAGCGGGAGAACCGAGCCACCCCTACGCATGGTTTTACCATCACCAAGAGACCATGAGCTTGGGTAAGGAAAGAGAATAGAGAGCAACACTCGACATAAGGATAACAAAGGCCACCCAAGGTACCCTGTATGTTCTGTTCACTGACTCACTCACTAAGTAATTGAATGTGCAAAAAGATAGGGACACAGAGACAAACAAGATAAGAAAACTGGGTTCCTATGCTACTGATTATTTCTTCCTGATATCCAAACATCTTTGCAAAGGATTGACTAGAATCGTGGGTTTGCAAACTCTAACACCTCCTGGAGCCGGAAGAATAATGTTAAGAATGAAGGCCAATGGGTGCCTGGTAATAGGGAACATTGGGGACAGTGATAAACTAGGCATCCTAGGCTCCATCTAAAAGTATTCAAATCCACTGTCCTTGGTGTTGGTGGTACAGTGGTGAGCATGGCTGTCTTCCAAATCCATTGTTCTTATCTACCACTGAAGCGAGGCAAAATTCACACACAGCCTAGACCTGGCTCATGGGCTTCCACTCATGACCCCTCTGTTTAGCAGGATGTAGACCAGAGACTCTGGATAAGCAATTTCACTTTGTATCCTGACTCTAAGACATCAACCAATATTGCAAATCACCTACAGGTGATGGCCATAATGCACCAGAAGATGAGGACAACTCTGCTATAGGAGAAACAAAGCAGAACAATCTACCAAGACCCAACATTTTGGAACCTAAGCCTGATCCCGTATTTCTTCATTATGATGGAAGAGTGCCACCACATAAACGAAGTTTTTGTTTTCTGGTGTCTTTAAAAATCAGCACCTCTTCCTAAAAGATGCTACTGGGGGAAGGTTCATTCTCAAAGAGAAGATGAAGAATCTCTACAATCCAACTCACATCTTTACCGTAAGGGATCAAAGATAATGTCATCAGACACACAGGTGAAATACATCGATTACAAATGTAAGAATTCTTAGCCCACTCAAAATGTGGTTCCTTGGTTAAAGGTGATGAGAAGCCATTTTATGTATACTTTTGTATAATATTTAATTAAGGTAAAATCATAATTTAAGAATGATATCTGGTAGTTTTTGCTTTCAAGGTCAGTCAACGTACTGGATATTCCAAAATTTTTTCAGACAACAACATTCTATTTTTTTACCCACGCCATGATTTTTACAGTCAGAAACATATAAGCTAATGTACACTTAGCACTTCTTAATTGGTTTTAAAGCTAAATTTGAACAATAAATGAAATTCCTCAGTGTGTGTGTTATGAAATATAGACATAGGCTATAAAAATGTTGACACTGGTTATATTCTAGTAATGCAATTTAGCCCTTTTAGTAATGACTATGCAAATAATCAGCTACAGGAAAACCATTTTACATCTAGCACAATTACCTACTATCACAGAAGTAATTATTATTATTGTCCTGCTTCTTGAACTTCAATAAAAACTCTTGAGGGGCTAAGATAGTTCCAAAGCCGTTGTGAAAACTCTCCTCTTAACAGACTCCTCTGGTAACCGTAATTATCAACGTTAAGGAGGGCAGCTGCAGATGAACATTAAACAAGAAATTATCCCCAGAAGATTCATAAGTTCCAAACTTTAAATGGGGAAATACTGACAGCTCCTAATATGTTCTCTTAACATCTTCAAGATGCAACTTTTCACTCAGACAAGGTCATGAGCTCTAAGATGACTCCATGTCAATGGGTAGAATCAATCCATGATCCCTATGAGATCAGTTTTGCCCCTGAACAATATCGACTTTTGGCCAATGTCCGGATAGTGCTGGTTATACTTCAGGAAGCTCAATCCCTGGTTCCATTTTACTGTGTTTCAACTTTTCGTTTCAGGAGTTGCTCCGCCATCTTGAAACAGACCAAGGTGCTTGGGTGATCCATTGGCCACCATCTGCCAAAGTTCTTCACCAGGACTCTATCCAACTTCATCTTCTCTGTTAACGCAGAGATGAGGAATGGGGTACGGTAGAGAAGAGGGATGTTTGCACCATTCTTTCAAGGAACACTAAAAATTGCCCAACCACCCCACCTGAGCCTGTTGGCTAGTGGTCCATGACTGGGTCTCACCAAGTCTGGAATCATCTGCAAGATGGCCACGCAGAAGGCCAAGATGCTAACTTGCCTGTTCTCCAGTCTTCTTCCTCACTCCCAGCAAATCCACCATCTGAAGAAGGTTCAGCTGCTCACTAGGGCCTACAGGAAAAAGCTCCTTGTGGGGGAACCGCCTCTGCGGTCTCTTGTGGGTAGATCACTCTGCAGTCGCTGACCCAAATAGCTGATTCCACCCCTTCTGGGTGCTCGTCTCAATTTAGCCCAAAGCCTTGAGAACCAGAGGTAGTGTTAACCAATTTTATGTTCAAGGGAGTCCAGTTCCAGGCTGGCCCGAGGCTGGTTTCTCGCAGGATCAACAGGCCTGGCTGAAGGCGGGGCTGGTCTCTTAGCTTCTTTATCCTGAATCTCGTCTTGGGGCCCTACACCTCTTGGGGGGCATTCTCCCCAGGGAGTGGTGGTTGTTTCTTCACTGGTCAGGAATCCAACCAGGAACAGTTGTGTCCCTGGGCTGGCTAAGCCCCAGCTCCCCAGACTTCTTCAATGTGCTTCTTCAATGTCTGGAAGATGCCAGACTCATGCCTCCTTCCTTCACCACTTTTGGGACAGTAGCAAAGTAGCCAATGCTGGCCACTACCTGTGTGCACCCAGAGACAGGTATCCGCTGAGGGTGGCCCGGAGTGTTGGGAGCAGGGGTCTCACAGGCGATGTCCTCCAAGAACGTGTTACCACCCACCTCCGACTTCCATGTTCTAGTCCCTTCCACCAGAGACCCTCTGCAGCGCCCCCTTTCGCCCCCGGAGCCTGCCGCCCGCAAGGACCGCCCCCACGCCCCAGCCCGGAGGGCTTCCGAGCCGGTGGCCGGGGCAGCAGGTGGGGGGAGGGGAAGGGGCCCGGGGCCCCGGGAGCGGTTCGGCCGGCGTCCCCCAAGCCCCCAGCCGGACGCCCCCTCCGCAGCCCCCGGACCCCGCCTCGCCCCCGCCGGGCTCCGCTCGGCTCGCCGCGCCCTCCCTCCCGCGCCCCCGCCAGCCCGGGCCGCGCACCCGCCGCGCCCGCCGGCCGCGCCGCGGCCCCCCGCATCCCCGCGCGGCCGGCGCCCACTTTACCTGTACTTTCTGCACTCGGGCGGCTCGTCGGGCGAGAAGCGCCTCCCCGGGACCGCTACCTCCCCCGCCCGGCTCCGCCCGGCTTCCTCCTTCCCCTCCAAGGCCGCAAAGTAGACGGGGTGGGAGGGAGTGCGAGCGAGAGAAAGAGAAAGGGGAGCGGGCGCGGGCGCCGCGGGAGGCGGCGGGCGGCGGCGGGAGGGCGCCCGCCCCGCCACTCGCCGCCGCGCGCCGCCCCCCGCGGCTCGGCAACTCCGGCTCGCGCCCCGGCCCGGCCCGGCCGGCCCCCGCGCCCGCCGCCCGCGCGCCGCCGCCGCCGCCGCCGCCGCGGCTGGGGCCGGCCCGCGCCCCGCGTCCCCGTACCTCGTAAAGGTCCCCAGAAGCCATGCCAGGCTGCGGAACTTGGCTCGCCGGTGTGCGCGTCTGCTCGCTCGCGCCCCGTGCGTGTGCGCGCGGGCGGGCTGCGCGTGTGTGCGCGCGTGTGCGAGTGTGTGTGGTGTGTTGAGTAAACTGTGTTTTTGCAGAATGACAGGCTTGGGGGCTGCCTATGCGCAGAATCGGAGCGGGCGGCGGCGGGGCTGGCGTAACCGGCGGCGGCGGCGGCGGCGGCGGCGGCACGAGCGCGGGCAGCAGCGACGCGCGGCGCGCCGGGAGCACGGACGGGCCCGAGCGCCCGCCGCGACCCGCGACCCGGCGCCCGGCGGCGGTGGCTGCAGCCGGCAACGGCTCGCCCCGGCGCGCCTGCAGGAAGCCGCCCGCGCCGCCGCCGCCCGGACGCTGCCGCTGCCACTGGGCGAGTCCGCCCCCGGGAGCCCGGCCCGGCCTCGGCGCGGGGGCGGGGGCGGCGGCCGGCGCCCCGGGGACCGGTCGCCGAGCCCGGCAGCGCCCGGCGCGGCTCGCGGGCGGCCGGGGGCCCCGGGCTGGCGGGCCAGGTGCCCGCCGGGCGTGCCCGGCCCGGCGCCGCCGCGAAGGGGCGGCCGGGAGGCAGGTAGAGGGCTGCGGTGGCGGGTCGCAGGGAAGGGGCCCCAGCCGAGGGGCCCCCGCCTCTGTCACCCCTCCCGGGGGAGGGAGTGGGCGCCGCCCTAGGGGACCTGTCCCCTTGGGGTTGCGCGGCCCCGCCCTCCAGGCTGGTTTGGGAGGTGTGGAGGCCACGAGGAGGAGGGACGAAATGACCCATCCAGAGGCGCCGCGGAGAGCCACGACAGCGTGGCCACCCCATAAACCCTGGAAAGTCTTTAGAGGCGAGCGTGGCCTTCCCCCAATAACTCCCCCTCACCCCCCTCCCCACCCCGAATCATTCACTCGTCTGTTATTCACACATTGCCCAAAGTCCACCCAACTGCACAGTGTCCCTGGACAGTCACAACTGGGACCCTGCCCACAGGGGACTTTGAATCCGGTAGGAGAAACTAGACATCCCCAAGTGAAGAGGGCGGTGGTGCATTCAGTCGTTCATGGAAGAGGGGGTCCCTGCTTTGTGACAGGCTCCAGAGCTGGAGGGACAGGAGAAGCCCCTCTCAAATCCAACCCCATTCTTTCAGTCGTGTCTTCCTACCAGTGAGGATAAAGGGTCACCCTTCTGCTTCAAGACTTCTCCTTATTAAAAAAAAATATATATAGTCATCTCAAAACCTTGAGAAGTCAGACTGTTCTGAAATTGGAGGTATGATGTGGACTTAACTCACATCTTCCCTGTGTCATTTCGTATTTGTGAGCCCATGGGCAAGTCACTTTCCCCATCCGAACATTGCTTTGCTCATCTCTATATGGGAGAGTGTGACAAGCACCTAAGCTGATGTGAGAATTAAACAGAGGATCTGTGTGTGCATGGAGTGGCCTACCCATGCCAGCAGAACTCAATCAAGGTAATTCACGTCTCAGTCTGGACCCTGAACCACCCTCCTGGAGTGTGAGATGGCAAAGGGGATGTTTTTAATCCCGAGGTGGTCAAACGTTTAAAAGTCATCAAATGTTTTAGTGAAAAAAAAAAAAATTCATAGAATCTAGACCACAAAAGTTTTCACATCTGACTCACCGCAGGACATATGAGTTTGCATATGCTGTTCCCTCTGCCTAGAATGTCCTTCCATGCTGAATCCATCTGGAAAACTCTTGCTCTTCCTATAGGGGCTTGTTTATCTTTGTATCACAAGCATCTACCACTATTTCTCACGGACAGTATGTACATATGAATGTTTGTTGGACTATGCCAATACAACAAATTTTATACCGATTTCTAGTTAAAAATCCTGTATTAAAATGGTGAAGGAAAAAATGGTGATGGAATGGAAATAATAAATAAGAAAGCATATTAGGCTTAGAAACTGGAGCTTGTTATAGCAGTTCTTTTCCCTCTTCCTTTCGATATTTTCCCCATGGCCATAGTTTTAAATAATAACAATAATAATAAGTAGCTCTCTTATATGTAGGTAGCAAAACAAATTTTAATGATCCTTGATTTGTATGTGGGAATTTGTATGCATGGGAATAAGTGCACCACCATAGCATGAGGATGTAATTTTTGGAAGTAGAAAACAAGAAAGAAACTGGGTTTGGAAATAATATGCACAGCCAAATGTGAATATATAATCAGTAGCTTTACAAAAACACCAAAAACTTCTCTTGCGCTGGCCAAATGCTCCCTGGGAACATGAGCACAGTTTGGAAAACCCTTGTCTAGATGACATTCGTTCCCCGAGTTCAGAGAAGGGAACACTCACTGTGGATTGGCATGATCAGGAAGTGTTTTAGGACCAAAGCAGATCTTGAAGACTCTTAGAAAAGGAGGGACAGTGTTCTAATTGGGGGGGTGGGGAAAGGAGATGGGCAATTCTGCAACGGGAGGGGTCTGAGATGACTAGGAGACTTGTTCGTGGAGGTCCCAGGACCCTGCATGATGAAGCTGGATCAGTTCATGGCAAGTCTTGAAACCAACCTAAGAAGTCTACGACGCAGCTGGTCAACAGTGAGAAACTGGTGAAGACCTCTGAATCCATCAAACGCATGTGACAATCAAAAGTGTGCTTTAGAAAACAAATTCTGGAAGAAATATGGGCAATCGACAGCAGGGATTGAAGTTAGGGCCAGGGAGAGGAATGGCGGTGGTCCCTGGTGGTAGCAGTAGAAACGAAGAAGAAAAACTGGATTTCTGAGATGTTCAGAAGGAGGAACCCAGCTAATATTTGTTGTAGCTGCTCCACCTCCTTCCACGAAGCATTTGATCCAGACCAACAGGACCCGATGACTAACAGGATGTATGTGCATTGAGGACTGGGGGGAGGGCCAAGCAACTAAGGAAAGAAAGGATACAGAGATGACTAAGGCTTCAAACGGAGTGACTGAGCTACCCATCCGTCACAACACTATTTTATTTTCAGCTTACCCCCAGACCATTGCTGGCTTCCGGAAATGGCAGGTGCTTCCTGAGGGATGATGGGGGGAAGGGTCTTTGCTTACTGTAAAAAAAGGTCAGCCCAACCTTTGACAGTGGCTCCAGGTCCTTCCGATGATGGAGAAGGGTCGTTGCTCATGGAGAATGGGAGACACTTGCCATCTTCCACAAACTGGGGTAGACTCTTCATACTGGTCATAACTCAAGGTCGTAGGATAGAAAACTCAACCCTGACTTAAAACAGAGAGAATTTATGGACTCACATAGATGAGAAAAGGATGGAGTTGCTCTCAAGATTGGCTGGATTCAGGGTCTCAAGGGGTGTAAAATAGCCTCTCTCACTCTCTCCTTCTTTCTGCATCTTGGACCTTTCCTTTTGAAGATAGGGTTGTTCCATGTAGCCGAGAACATGGCACCTGGCAGCTCACATCGTCCAGGTGTATAAATCCCAGAAAAGGGATTTGCCCTTGCAGCTCACATGCCCACAGTTTGGCCCAATCCCTGTAGCCATTCACTGATAGTACACTACGATCAGCTGGGCTTAAGTCTCACTCCCATCTATGGGAAAAATATGACACCTGGCAGTTTTACCAGAATGACATGGTCAGAATCAAAGATGAGCAGAAACCCAGAGGATTAGTAAAAAAGGAAAACTGAAAAGATAGGCACCCACTCCGTGCTAGAATAAATCCGGAACAGAGAGGAAACTTAGGAGCGAAGGCAGTCGCTGCCTAGAACATGGCCTTCCGATAGATCAAGACTGGTCAGTTTCATATCCAAACAAGGATTGCGTCCCATCTGGTGGTGGCATTAAAATGTGACAATATTCTCCTTCTGGTATTACTTGAGACACAATCTTGACCCCCCATGTCGTGTGGTGGCTGGACACATATGCTCTAGAGCAAGGAGGCCTGGGTTCCCAACCTTGCAATGTCACTACTAGCTGTATGGTATAAGCCTCTTACCAGCTCTGTCCTTCCATTTCTAAATATACTTGTTATTTATGACTGCATTATAGCTCCAAAATGTAGTGTCTTAAAAAAAAAAAAAAAAAGGCACTTCTAATCTCACAGTTTTTGTTGGTTATGGATTTAGGAGCAGCTTAACTGGGCGGTTCTGGCTCAGGGTCTCCCATGGGATTATAACCAAACTGTGCTGCTCTAGGACTGCAGTGATCCGAAGGCGTGGCTGGGGCTGGAGTGTCCACCTGCAGGCTGATGACCTCACACGGCTGTTGGCAGGAGGCCTCAGCGCTCAGCCACACGGGTCTCTTCATGGGGTTGCTGGAGTATCCTCACACCATTCTCAGCTGGGCCCCCCAAATCCAACAGAATAAGGCAGAACTGCCAAAGCTTCAACTCTTTCTAGCACAGAGCAGCTAACTAATCTAATGTCCTAATCCACGGCCACCTGTGGCCTTCTATTTCCTTGGATTGGGTCAAAAGGCTGCACCTAAGGAAATAGAAGGCCACAGGTGGCCTGGAGGCCCCCGATTCCCCACCCCTGGTCTATGCTAAGAAGGCTGTTTGATGTAGAGGTGATTTGCAGCATGTCAGGTTGAACAACTGGGGGTGTCATCTGATCCACACCCCTCACTTTAAAGAGAGAAAGCTAAGACCATGGAGGAAGTCACACAATGACTTTGAAGATCTAAGCTTTGACACCCAAAGATAGTCACTTCCACCATATTCTGTTCTTTAAAACTGTACCACTAAGCCAAGCCCACACTCAAAAGAAGGCAAATCAGCCTCCGCCTTCTAAAAGGAGGACTATCAAAGAATTTGTGGACATAAACCACCAAACCACATCTGTAAATGGACTTGCTAGGTACCCCATAGAGTTGTTTTGAGAATTAGATGAGCTAATCCATGCGGAGCATCTATAATAAGGGCTGAATAATGGTCTCTGTTATAATTACTGTGACAACTACCATTACCAGTTTCAAACTTGATGTGAGTCACTAATGTCCTTGAATGTTAAAGATTCCTATGGAAAGGCATTAAATCAAATAAAACCTTTAAAATGAATATTGTTCTCAAGCCATGCAGAAACCCTTATTCTTAATTAGGCTGTATTTTCAGCATCTATTTGAAAATATTTTACTTCCACAATAATAATAATTTCAGTCATACTTACTCAATAT